GTCCCCCCGTCACCCAGAAAGGAGATAAATGTCCCATCAGTTTCTCCTGAACAAACCATTTGATGAGAAAGTAGGTAGTAAGTGAAAGCCAAGTACATCCCAGAACTCATTGTGTGTATCACCTTTCCCTTTAGTGTCTGCAGAGCATCCAGGTAAGCAGCCAACATAGGTAAACTGAGCGTCTCCACCAGTGTGGTGTGAAGCCACTGGATCAGCTTGGTGTCCCAGTTCACGCTGGCCAGAGCTTGGCGGACCCGCCGGGCGCATTTGTCCACTGCTATCCTCCTCAGCACTGGCTCATTGCAAGCCTAAAAACAAGCGAAGCAGGCCACATGGGCATAAGGAAAGTGAGTAAGTGTGCAAGGGCCACAGAGAATCCACAGGGGCAAAACTTGCTGCTAAAGCCTCTCTACCCCTGGTCATGAACATGGACCAATCCTCCTCCCACTGAAGACCATTTTCTAATCCATATCAAAGTCACAAGGCTGTTTATGGTGGAGGCTGTAAGAGCTAAGGACCTAGACTGTCCTGTGTTTCATCTGCTGTTGCCAGAAAGCACTATGTGCAAAAGGAGGAAATGCAGCTGCTGCAGCTTGTAGAGATGAGAGAAGACAAATCTTACCCCTTCGTTAGCCAAACGGGCCAGTCGGTCAGACTGCAAGGCTTTAAGGATCTTATTAAATAGCTTGTTCTGAGCCATTGTCCAACCCGACCTACAAAGGGAAACCGAGAGAGTAGTTTAGACAGGACATCAAAGGGTTTAGCTCAACGTTACATTTTATTACTCCTAACTCTTAAAACAATGCAATAAGGGTGCAAGTAAATAAGACTGTGCAGTCGATCATTGGTGCTTCTGTTAGCATCCAGGAGTTAATGGCTCGCAGTCCTGTGTTCAGATTCAATAGAACAGAATACTAGAACTGGAAGGGACCTTGAGAGGTCATCAGGTATAGACTCCTGCCCTCACAGCAGGACCAAGCTCTGTCTAGATCATCCCTGACAGATGTTTATTAACCAACTCAGATTCCACAACATCCAGAAGCAATTTATTCCAGTGCTTAACCACCCTTACAGGAAGTTTTTCCAAATGTCCAACCCCAACCTCCCTTGCTGCAATTTAAGACCACTGCTTCTTGTCCTATCATCAGAGGCCCAGGAGAACAGTTTTTCTCCCTCCTCCTTGTGAGTTGAAAACTGCTATCACGTCCCTGCTGAGTCTTCTCTTTTCCAAACTAAACAAACCCAATTGTTTCACTCTTATCATAGAACCACAGAGCTGGAAGAGACCTCACAAGGTCATCAAGTCCAGCTGCCTGCTCTAGACAAGACCAATCCCAACTAAATCAACCCAGCCAGGGCTTTGTCAAGCCGAGACTTAAACAACTCTAGGGATGGAGACTCCACTACTTCCCTAGGTAACCCATTCCAGTGCTTCACCACTCTCCTAGTGAAATAGTTTTTCCTAATATCCAACCTGGACATCTCCTACCACAACTTGAGACCATTGCTCCTTGTTCTGCCATTCGTCACTACTGAGAACAGCCTCTCTCCATCCTCTTTGGAACCTCCCTTCAGGAAGTTGAAGGCTGCTCTCAAATCCCCCCTCATAGGTTGTGTTTTCTAGACCTTTAATCATTTTTGTTGCTCTTCTCTGGACTTCTCCAATTTCTCCATGTTTCCTGAAACATGGTGCCCAGAACTGGACATAATACTCTGAGAGCTAATCAGTGCAGAGTAGAGCAGAAGAACAACTTCTTGTGTCTTGCTTACAACACTCCTGTTAAGCAAACATGATTCTGGGATGCATTTTTTTGCAACAGCGTCACACTATTGACTCATGTTTAGCTTGTGGTCCACTATGACCTCTAAATCCCTTTCTGCCGTACTCCTTCCTAGACAGTCGCTTCCCATTCTGTGAGAGAGAAAACGGATTGTTCCTTCCTAAGTGGAGTACAGTAAAACTCCACTGGTCCGGCATCCAATGCTCGGGCACTCCTGATGGTCCATCGGGAACCCAGAAGTGCTCCGGGCAGTCAGACAATTGGAGCTGCTCTGCGCCCGGCTTTCCCAATTCAGCCGCTGCTGAAACTGACCAGCAGCTGAATCGGGGAAGCCGGGGGCAGAGCAGCTGGGGTGCTGCCGGGTTGCTCCCGCACATTGAGGCTTCATTCAGAAATCGTCAGCGCTGGAGAATCCACCCCAGAGCTTTGGGAAGTGTCCCCCTGGTTAATTCCCCCACCGTGAAAATGCCCCCTATTTCCAGCCCGAGTTTGTCTGGCTCCAGCTCCCAGCCACTGGGTTGTGTTTGCAACTGAGCTGTTGATTAATCCCCAGATAGGAGCTTCTAGACAGAGACCACGTCCCCCCGACCCTTCTCTGTGTTGTTAAACAGCTCCTGGACTGTCTTTCTCTAAGAAGGACCCGCTGTGGCGGCGCGTCGGGGTTTCCCCGACTCCTGCACCCCCATAGTGGCATGAACAGATTCCACCAGCCAGTAGAAGAGAGGGAGTTTATTGCTTCTCCAGGATACAGCACAGCACAGATGTAATCTGGTTACAGGGCAGGCCTAGGATGCCTCAGCCCCCCTTGAGATGGGGGAGACTGGGCCCCTAAATTCCAGCCCCTTTCCCTAGGCTGTCTCCTCCATGCCCCCAGACAGAAACTACCTCACCCCCTTCCAGCCCTGCCCCCCAGCCAGGGCTCCACTCCCCTTCTTCCCATTGTTCTGCTCCCTGGGGAAGAACTCAGAAGCCCCCTTGCATAATGACTCATCCCCTGCCCTGCTGCGCTGTTCTGTGCTGCAGGCAGCAGCCAGTGAAGGTCACTCACAACCCACTTCCCAGCATAGCAACCAGCAAGGTACCCCCACTACGTCACACCCCCACCCCACCCTAGGCCCCTCATAGCCCCCCCTTCTGATAGTCCGGCATATCTGATAATCCAGCACCCCCTGGGTCCTAAAGGTGCCAGATTCTCGGAAGTTTACTGTACTTTGCATTTGTCCTTATTAAACTTCATCCTATTTACCTCAGATCATTTCTCTACTCTGTCCAGATCATTTTGAATTATGACCCTATCCTCCTAATCGCTTGCAGCCCCTCCCAGCTTGGTGTCATCCGCAAAGTTTGCACATGTACGCTCTATGCCAGGGGTGGGCAAGAGGCTGCCAATGGGCCGGATGCCAAGCAGCCAGCAGATGCCTTGCTGGGACCCTTAAGCACAGCTCAGCGATGCCACGTTAAATGTGGCTGCTCTATTCTGGGAGCAAGGAGGGAGGCTTTGTGCTGTCCCGGCCACCAACAAAATCTCTCAGCTCCCATTGGCCAATTTCTGAGCAATAGCAGCTGAGATATTTTGCTGGCAGCAGGTGCAGCCAACGAAGCCTCCTCCCTCCCTCCTCCAGATTCTCGGAAGTTTACTGTACTTTGCATTTGTCCTTATTAAACTTCATCCTATTTACCTCAGATCATTTCTCTACTCTGTCCAGATCATTTTGAATTATGACCCTATCCTCCTAATCGCTTGCAGCCCCTCCCAGCTTGGTGTCATCCGCAAAGTTTGCACATGTACGCTCTATGCCAGGGGTGGGCAAGAGGCTGCCAATGGGCCGGATGCCAAGCAGCCAGCAGATGCCTTGCTGGGACCCTTAAGCACAGCTCAGCGATGCCACGTTAAATGTGGCTGCTCTATTCTGGGAGCAAGGAGGGAGGCTTTGTGCTGTCCCGGCCACCAACAAAATCTCTCAGCTCCCATTGGCCAATTTCTGAGCAATAGCAGCTGAGATATTTTGCTGGCAGCAGGTGCAGCCAACGAAGCCTCCTCCCTCCCTCCTCCCCTTCACCCTGCCCAGAGCAGAGCCAAGTGGAGCAGCTTGCGACTTGCAGCCTTCAGGTTCCTGCAGAGCTGGCGGAGCGGGGGGCTGGGAGCTGTCTAGGTAAGCCCCTCCCAGCCAGAGCCTGCCTCTGGCACCCCATTCCCTCTCTCCCCCAACTATCTGCCCCAGGCCAGCACCCAAACTCTCTATACTCCTTTTCCCCAGGTCACAACTCCCTCCCAGACCCTGCACCCTCCCCCCCGGCCAGAATCCTCACCTGCACCCATACTCCCTCTCTGACCCTGCACCCCATTTCCCTTTCCTTAGTCATTACCCAAATCCTCTGCACCCCCTTCACCCAAGTCACAATCCCCTCCTAGAGCCCTTCCCCCAGGCCAGAATCCTCTCCTACACCCATACTCCCTCCTGGACTCTGCACCCCAAGCCTCTGCCCCAGATCACAACCCCCTCTTCACCCAAACTCCCTCTCAGACTTCACACACCCTCCTGCATCCCAGTCTCCTACACCAAGCTTCCTTCTGCACCCAACCTCTGTCCCAGACCCTAAACCCCCTTGGAAGAAATGCAGCCCTTGACTACTTGCCAAAATCTTGGAGTGGCCCTCCATTAAAAGTTATTGCCCACTCCTGGTCAATGCCATTGTCTAAATCATTGCTGAAGATATTGAACAGAACCACTCCCAAAACTGATCCCTGTGGCACCCCATTCATTATGCCCTTCCAGCCTGACTGTGAGCCATTGATAACTCCTCTCTGGAAATGGTTATCCAACCAGTTATGCACCCTCCTTACAGTAGTCCCATCCATGCTGTATTTTCCAGTTTACTGATAAAAGTGTTATGCAAGACTGTATTAAATGCTTTACTAAAACATTTGGCAGCTTCTACATAGGTATGCCATGTCTACCGCTTCCCCCTTATCCACAAGGCTTGTTATCCTATCCAAAAAGTTACCAGGTTGGTTTGACATGATTTGTTATTTACAAATCCATGCTGTTACTGATCACCTTATTATCCTCCAGATGTTTGCAGATGGATTCCCTAATTATTTGCTCCATTATCTTTCCTGGTACAGAAGTTAAGCATGCGTGTTGTGTTCTCAGCGCATCTCTCCAGCTGGCCATGCCTGCTCCATGCACCAAGAGATCCCTGGCTTGGAGCCATTCCGAGGTGCTGGACCTCACCAGCGTTTGGGGAGAGGAGGCCATCCAGTCCCAGCTGTGCTCTAGCTGCAGGAATTACCTTACTTATGGTACATCTCTAGGGGCAGACCCAAAAGGGGCCATGACCACGATGCACTGCAGTGTAGGGTCAGTGAAGGAGCTGTGAAATGCCTACCACAGATTAAACCGCCGCTCTGGTGCTGCGCCCATTACCTGCAGGTTCTACAAAGAGCTGGATGACATACTTGGGAGTGACCCCACCTCCACTCCGAAGACCCCCATGGATTCCTCAGGGGCTCAGGGACCATCTGACACTGGAACAAGACAGGAGGAGGAAGTTGTGGCAGAGTGCGCTCAGGGCAAGAAGGCCAGAGCCAGAGGAGGACTCGGCATCCATAGAAGCTTGCAGCAGAAGCCATTTGTGTACCCTGCAGCCCTTGGAGGCTGTGTGGATGATGCACCTGGTAAGTGGGTTAGGAAAGCACTTGAGCTACTTGCCAGGTGCAGGAAGGTTACAGAAAGGAGGCTGGGCTCTGTGTGATGCTGCTACCAGTGGGGGATCGGCAAAAAGACCATTGACACAATCATTTACGCCTCGGTAATCTGCCTCACAGATCTCATCAAAAGCAACACCCTTTAAAGCAACGTGGTATTTGACCCCAGCAGGTGACATTCCCTCGCACTGTGCCATCAGCGAAGCCTCCGTGGGAGCGGGGTCGGCTGGAGCAGCCCCTGTCCGTGGAAGGCCCAGTCCGGCTCAGCTTCCCTGCCACAGGTTACACACTGTGGCTCCCGAGGAGCCGGACCAACAGGGGCTGTTGGCCTGCTCCTGGGGAGGCATTGGGACAGGCTCTGCAGTACAAAGCTCAGCTAACCTTGATACTGCAGAGCCTGCAGTGTGTGTAACCACTAAGATTTTTAGCGATTACATGGTTACCTTTTTTAATGACTTTTTACATCCCTAGTCAAGAGACACTTAGATATTACACAACCAGGGACAAAAGCCCATAGATAGATGGGGGGGGGCCTGCTTCTAGCTGATTTCTAACCCCATTCCTTAGCAAAGATCCTCTTTCCTTCCTAACAAACAAAACACTGGCAGAGAAAGCATTTACCATCAATGTTTTAGGAAGAAACAAAGAGTTACTTGCTCCAGGCTGCAGACCAAATTGCACATGCAAAACTGAGGAACAGTATCTTACACACAACAGAAGAGTGTCTGCTTCCTCCGGGTACAGTCTGCAGATGATCTGAAGAGAAAGGCCTCTGAAATGGGGACCAGACAGCTAATACATAGAAGAGCAACTGAAAGCTCTTCCTAGAAATATTTTGCTTGACTGAAGAGTGACGGAGGAAGAGAGGGAAAGGGGCTCGGACAACTGGAACTTTAATACTCCCCCCGCTGCGGCTCTGCGAGGGAAGTATTTTAGGAGTTATTGCAGAGCCACAGAAGGGAGTAGCTCCCGGTACCTAGCGTGAGCCGGGACTGAGCCGGGCTACCTACCTGCCGGCTCCTGAATTACTTTTCATGAAGAGCCGCAGAAGGGAGTAGTTCGACCTGGGACAGAGCTAGGCTGCCTGCCCACTGGCTCCTAAAATACTCTTAGTGCAAAGCCACAGCAGGGGTAACTGTTGGACATGGCACAAGCCGGGACTGAGTGCTTGCAGTGCTAACCCTTAGTGATTCATCGTGTAGTCGACACAATTAATGAATTACATGCTTTTAACATCCCTACTATCCAACACACATTACTTAACTACAGCCTAAGCCTGTGTATCACCCAAGACAGCATTACAGAACAGACGCTGGCTTTAAGTGAGAAGTGCAAGCCTGCTTAATTTCTGCAACTGAGTAACACTTTGTCCTTTTATAGCTCTTTTCACATCAGGATCTCCAAGCATGTGACAAACATTAATTCTCCCAGGCAAACAGAACCCAGAGACGGCATGGACCAGGGGCTAGGGCATGGACAGAGTCAGGAGACCTGGATTCTCCTCTTAGCTCTGCCTCTGACCTGCTATGGGAACCAGGGCAAGTCATTTCCCTTCTTCCTCAGTGTCCCCTCCTACCCTTTGCACTGCTCTAGACTCTTTGGGATGGGAACTCTCTTACCTCCATAGACAGTGGATAGCACTACGGAGTCCAATCTCAGTTGAGGACTCTTCCAAGGTAGTGGATTCCAACCAAGAGGATTCCTGAATCCCAACCCTCTATGCAACCCTGAATCCCAATGCCTCTATGCAACCCTGAATCCCAACCCTCTATCCCAACCCTGAATCCCAATGCCTCTATGCATTACCCTTTTCAGGATGCTTATTTTGTTTCTCTTCCCAGGTAATAAAATAGCCTCTCACTAGGCACCGCAGCACAGAAACACCCAACAGTAGCCTACACACATTACCTGCTCATGTGCTCCTCCCAGTCATCTGGGGGAGGAGGGGCATCGGCATCCGTGCGGGCAAAGATCACGTGGCGCTCACACTCGTTCATCACACTGCGTGCTTTCTGGTTGTCGTAGAGTGGGACAGGCATGGGGGCGACAGTTTCCACATCGAGGGGGATATCGGCCTCACTGAAAGAAGAGCTGGGATTTCAGAGAACAGGTCTCTGCCCTACCACAGGACCTTTACAGCAGCAGGTTTCTCAACGCAAACCAGGAATTGGATACACACTGCCCTGGGAAGCCTGAGCAAGATGGACAGAGACAACACACCAGTGCCCACCTGTCTGAAAGCACATGGCTCCTCCAAGTTGATTTCATTCTCCACCCCACCCCATCCCCCATCAGTATCCAAAACACAGCCTGAGAAGCTGCTGCCACTGAAGCAGAAGACAGAATTGCTCTGGTTTTCATGGTATTTGTAACCCTGTTTTACACCCAACATCTCTGCCTTGGGACCAGTCTACACCACAAAATGAAATGTCTCCTGACAGGGTTACTTGCAGCTTGTTGTGCTGATGAGCCCTGAATAAGGTTTTAACCATGTCTCACAACCCACTGCAGTCGTAGGCATGGATCCCGTCGCACACAGCTGAGCATCTGCAGGACATTCCAGTTAGATCAGTGGAACGCCATACATGCTTGTGGATTTCATAGCCCCATTGGGGCCTTCAGTTGTAGCAGTTTGGAAACAGTTCACATACAGCATAAGAACACAAATACAGCCATAATGAATCAGACCAAAGGTCCACCCACCCCACTATCCTGTCTTCTGATGGTGCCAGTGCTCAGAGAAAATGGAGAACCGGGCAATTTCTCAAAGAATCCATCCCCCTGGCAGTCAGAAATTTAGGGACACCCAGAGAATGGGGTTGCATCTCTGACCATCTTGGCTAACGGCCATTAATGGACCGACCCTTCACAAACCAACATACTTCTTTTTTTGGATCCAATTAAATGTTTGGCATTCACAGAATCTGCTGCTAATGAATGCCGCAAATTAACTGTGGATTGTGTAAAGAAGTACTTAACGTTGTGAACTTTTTTGACTGTCATTGTAACTGACTGGATGTTTTCAGAGAAGTAGCCACAATGACCTCCAGATCTCTCTCATGAATGGTAACAGCTAATTTAGATTCCATCATTCTGCATGTATGTGCACTACTTTGCACTTATCAGTATTACATTTAATCTGCCATTTTACTGCTCAGGAACCCACTTTGTAACTCTCTGCAGGCAGGACAGAACTATCTTGAGTAATTCTTTATTGTCTGCAATCTTTGCACCGTGCTCTTTATCCCTTTTTCAGATCATTTGTGAATATGCTGTATGGCACTCGTCCCAGTGCACATCCTTGGAGGACACTATTTACCTCTGTGGAAAGTGACCATTTACTCCTATTCTTTGTTTCTTATCTTTAGTCAACTGATCCAGAACTGGACCTTCCCTTTTACCCCTTAAATACTTACTTGCCTAAGAGCCTTTGGTGTGGAGCCTTGCTAAAGGCTTTCTGAAAATCCAAATGTATGTCCTCAGCCGAATCACACTTGTCTATATACTTGCTGACCCCTTCAAAGTATTCAAAGACTGGGGAGGCCTGATTTCCCTTACCAAAGCTGAGTTTCCCCAATTTCATTGATTTGTCTGATAATTCTGCTCTTTACTATAGTTTCAATCAATTTGTCCAAAACTGAAGTTATGCTCACTGACCTAAAACTGCCAGAACTGCCTCGGGACCTCTCTTAATAATCAGCTTTACATTAGCTATTCACCAGTCATCTGGTACAGAGGCTGATTTAAGTGATAGGTTACATTAAAAAAGTAGTTGTGCAGTATCACATTTGACTGCCTTCAGAATTCTTGGTGAATACATCTGATCCTGGTGACTTCTAACTATTTATCAATTTGTTCTAGGGTCAGTTCAATCTGGGACAGTTCCTCAGATTTGTCATCTAAAAAAATAGCTAAGGTGTAGGAATCTCCCTCATATCTTCTGCAGTAAAGACCAATGCAAAGAATCCATGGAACATGTTTACAATTACCTTGTCATCCTTGAGTGCTCCTTTAGCACTTTGAATGTCCGACAGGCTTCCTCTTGTCTGACAAACTTCTTTTTACACTTACTTGTCAGACACTCTACTTTCCTCAGTAGGATCTGAACTCCAAATTTTAAAGGATGCCTGTTTGCCTCTAATGATCTCTTTTTGCTTTGCTATATAGCCATAATGATAATTTTATTTGGTCACTGCCGGATTATCCTGGCTCAAGTATTTGGGCAGTGTTAGGGGGATGAGCAGTGGGAGATGGAATTCAACGGGAAAGAAGATCCTTGACATGCTGTTTGTCTATTGTCGTCTTGCCGATTTACACTAAGTTTTTCAGGACAAGGATCTTCTTATGCATTTATATAGCTTCCAGAACAACAGGGTCTCAATTGTGACTGGGTCATTTCACCACCACTGGAATAAAAGCAATAACTAAAATCTCAGCTGCAGGACTGAGAAGTGATTTTACCACTGTTTACAGCTAAGCCCATTTGTTCAAAATACAAATTATTGAGATTCCTTGGGGCATTTGTTTAAATGCAATGTTTATTTCTAATGCTTTACCCTTTAGCTTAAGTAGCACCAGAGACTCAGCAGAAGTTACTGCATCTTGGAGCAATGGAGGAGAAAACATCTCACCTGTTTTCTTAGACAAGATGCATTGCTTCAGGTGAGTAAATTTATCTCACACATGAGCTGTGTTCTGAGAGTCCTGCATCATCTGGGAAGCTCTCCAGTTCTACCTGATAGTCATAAATTCAGGCCTATGCAAATGAAGTGCGGATTAGTATTTTGCCATGCTTCATTGGCATAATTTATTCAAGCTGTTTTTGCACAAGGGGTTTTTGCGCAAAACTAAGCAGTGTGGATGGTTTTTTGCGCAAAAAACCCTTTTTGTGCAAGATCCTTATATCTCGCAGAATGCTAATCCGCACTTCATTTGTGTAGGCAAAGCCGGCAGCGTAGACAAAGTCTCAGAGTTTAAGACCAGAAGGGACAACAGGCAGTCCCCTAGTTACGCGGATCCGACTTACGTCGGATCTGCAGTTACGAATGGGGATTTTCTCACCCCGGAAGACTGGGGCTTTGATGTCCACTCTTGAATTTCAAACTTGCACAAACGGCCTGCCAGATACATAACTGCAACAGCTATGATCTCCGGTTCCCACTGCAGAGACAATGTAGTGCAGAGACTAGAAAACCAAAAGAACAGTTATTTTAGACAACCTAGATAGAGCACCACAAACCTAAATACATATACATAATCACCATCGACAATAAAAATGATGCAAGCCAAATGGTATTCAATCACACCTATGCCAGGCACCTTTCTACAACGTACATCAGCATCCATTTAAACCAATGATCTCCATTTGGATTGTACAGGTGTTCAGACTGAGAATTTGGCCTAAATTCTAATTTTGTATACCAAAAATTAAGCACAGGAAAAGTGAGCAATTTTGAGGAGCAGATGGTGAAACAGAAAGGAAAGAATACATCCTGACTTTCAGAGATCCCAGATTGAATATGAAGGATGGCAATCAAGACATTTTTCTCTTGTAAATTCAGAAAAATTGATCAAGTGCTCTCTCAACACTATATTTAGAAATCAGAAAAATTCCCTTGAAAAAAATCAAGGCCAATTTGCTTTGAACATCTAAATTTAAACACTATACAGGCAGTCCCCGGGTTACGTACGAGATAGGGACTGTAGGTTTGTTCTTAAGTTGAATCTGTTTGTAAGTCGGAACTGGTGTCCAGATTCAGCCGCTGCTGAAACTGACCAGCGGCTGACAACAGGAAGCCGGAGGCAGAGTTGCTCTGCCCCGGGCTTCCTGGAATCAGCTGCTGATCAGTTTCAGCAGCAGCTGACTTGGGGACACCTGGGGCTCTTAAGTTGAATCTGTATGTAAGTCAGAACTGGTGTCCAGATCCAGCCACTGTTGAAACTGATCAGTTTCAGCAGCGGCTGAATCTGGATGCCAGTTCCGACTTACATACAGATTCAACTTAAGAACAAACCTACAGTCCCTATCTTGTACGTAACCCGGGGACTGCCTGTATTAGATCATCCTTTCTGACCCCCTGTTTAACACAGGCTAGAGAAGTTCACCCAGCTGCTCCTGAATTGAGTCCATCTTGTCTTGATCTGAAGACTTGGGAGATGGAAAATCCATCATTTCCCATGGTAATTTGTTCAATGGTTAATCACCCTCACTATTAAAATGCATCTCTTGATTCTAACTTGAATTTGTCTGACCTCAGCTTCCAGCCATTGGCAGTTCTTCTGCCTTTCTGCACTAGATTAAAGAGGCCTTTACAGTACCTGCTATTTTCCCCATGAAGGTATTGATGATATCAATGTCACCTCTCAATTTTCCTGTTGATAAAACTGAGCTTTCAGCCTCCCACTATTAGGTATTTTTTCCAGACCTTGAATCATTTTTGTGACTCTTTTCTGCACTTTCTCCATATTTTCCAACATCCCCGTAATGATTCAAATATTAGAACTGGATGCAGCAAATCAGTCTCACCAGTGAAGAAGAGAGATAAAAATCACCTCCTTGCTCCTTCTCTCTACTGTACTTATTCATCCAAGAGTTGCATTAGCTCAGTGGCAAGCAACCTGTAGGCTGCATCTGGGTCCATCACGGTAATTCGCTTACAGGCCATGAGACAGTTTGTTTATGGTGAGTGTCCACAGTCACAGCCCCAGTGGCCGTGGTTTGCTTTCTGAGAACTACCAACCTCCCCACCTTTTGCAGAGGCAGGCTGAGGCCTGGTCTGCACTTGGAAATTTTACTCTAACTATAGTCCTCAGTAATCACGAGCGCATATGATGCTGGAGACAGGGAATGACCCAGCTGTCACTATCAGCTGAAGGCAGTCAGACTTCTCAAATGCAGTCAGCATTTAGCTAGCTCCCAAGCCCAGCAACCATGGTCAGCCATGGTGACATTCTGTAGTGTAGACTGGGTCTGCAAAGTTATTAGCTCATGCCCAGTTCCTCTCTAAGGCTACGTCTACCCTGAAGCGCTAATTCGGGATACCAGAGTATCCCAAAATAGCTATCCCACATCTTCACAGCAAGATGTGGGATAGCTATTTCAAAACATAACAGACTCGCTATTCCGAAATCCCTGTAAACCTCATTCCACAAGGAATAAGGGACGTTTCAAGATATTCTGAAATTTGGCGCAAAAGTACGAACTAAGCTTATTTCAAGCTATGGTGCTATGTAGACACACCCTAAAGGTTTTGTTTAGAATAAAATATAGCAATATGTTAGCTCAAACTACCCAACTCAACCTAATTAACTGCTTCTAAAAGTGTAATCAAAACAAAGCCACTGTACTTACATGATTAGCTTTTTCTAAGCAGATTTCTACACTTTAACTGGACTTACTGAATGTTTCAGGCCTTGTCTAGACCAGAATGTAAAGGTATGATGTTCGCATTGGAGCTAGGCAGGAAACAATTTTCCTGACCCAGGAAAATTTTTGAGATTTTGAAAAATACTCTCATCCTGAATCTAGAGCTGTTTCAGAAAAAGGCTTCTTCTTCGCAGAATGAGGATTACCAATGCCGGAAAAACCCCTCTGTTCTTTTGATTTTCCTGAGGAAGAATGCAATTGCATTGTTGACATTCCTCAAGTTTTGTTGGAAAAACAGTTGTTTTTCTGACAAAACTCTGTAGCATAGACATACCCTAGGTGAAAATTCAAAATCTGGCAAATGTACATAAATTGGAAATGCAACAAATGCCTCCAATCAAGTCAATTACAAAATTTAATTTCAATATCTAGTGAAAGAGCAGAAAATTAATTTCACCTCTGTATTAGAGATGTGACTGGGTAACAGTTAACCACCTCTCCCTCTCCCCATCTTTCCCCTTTAATCAGTTAACTGGTTAAACTTAATATTTAACCAGTTAACTAATTAAATGGGATTTTACATCCTACTCTTTACTTGGCACTGGTAAGACCGATGCTGGAATACTGTGTGCAGTTCTGCTGCCCACAAATCAAAATGGGTATAGATAAACTGGAGAAGTCCAAAGAAGAGCCACAAGAATGATTAAGGCTTAGAAAGCCTGTCTTATAATGAAAGACACAAGCAGCTCATCTATTTTGTTTAACAAAGAGAAGACTAAAGGGTGACTTGAGTACAGGCTGAAAGTACCTATGTGCGGAATAAATATCTGATAATGGGCTCATCAATGTAGCACAGTTGTTTTCAACCTGTGGTCTGCAGGCCCCTGGAGGTCTGCAGATGTCTTAAATTTCCAAATGGGTCAGCACCTCCATTTGAAATGTTTAGGGGCCTGCAAATGAAAAAAGGTTGAAAATGAAAAAGGCTGCAAATTTTCAAAATGGAATTCTCACAATTCCAAAACATTGTTTTAATTTTTTTTTTCAAAAGGGGAAAGTCTAGCAGCAACAGTTTCAATTTAGAAATATCAGTATATCTGACATTTAACTGAAAACTTCAAACCCAGCTCAGTTAGTGTGTGTTAATGCTTTAAAAATTGATTCTAGACAAAGCAGGTTGCCCTCTAGGGGAGAACTTCTACAGCTTACATGGTCAGGTACAAATTGTCCTGTTTAGAGAACTGACAGATGAAATTTCAATGTTGACAAATGTAAAGTAATGCATATTGGAAAACTCAACTTGGCACATAAATGGAGTCTAAATTAACTGGTATCATTCAAGAGAACTTGGAGTCATTGTGCATACGTCTTTGAAAACATCCCCTCAGTGTGCAGCAGCAGCCAAAAAAGTGAATAGAATGTTGGGAATCATCAAGAAAGGGACAGATAAGACAGAAAATATCAAAATGCCTCTATATAAGTTCATGGTAAGCGACATGCAGATGTGGTCACCCCATCTTGAAACAGATATATTGACATTGGACAAGGTACAAAAAAAGCAACAAAAATGATTGGGGTATGGAACAGCTTCCACACGAGCAAAGAAAAGACTGCGTCTCTTCAGTTTGGGAAAAGAGACTACTACCGAGAGATATGGTAGAGATCTATAAAATCATGACTGGTATGGAGAAGAAAGTGTTATTTACTCCTCATAACAGGAGAACTCAGGGTTACCCAATGAAATGAATAGGCAGCAAGTTTAAAATAAAGGAAACATTTCTTCATACAACACAAAACCAGTGGAACTCCTTGCCAGAGGCTGTTGTGAAAGCTAGGACTTTAACAGGGTTCAAAAAAGAGCTGGATAAATTCGTGGAGGACAGGTCCATCGATGGCTATTAGCCAGGACGGGTAGGAATGGTGTCCTCTGCCAGTGTGTGTCAGAAGCTTGATCATTCCCTGCTCTGTTCTTTCCCTCTGGGACACCTGGCATTGGCCACTGTCTGGGCTAGAAGGACCTTTGGCCTGACCCAGTCTTGCCATTCTTATGTTCTTATGCTGGGGTTTTAATATGTTACCTACTGTGTTGAAAAGCACCTTGAAAGCAGATACAGAAAGCAAGAAAGCCATCAGAGCATAGGAAAGGAGTATCCAAAATATGTGTGAATCCAAAGCAAATTAACTCAGAAGCACTAGAAAGGGCTTTGCTCACATGCTGCTGTCTTGGTGCCTCCTGGGGGTGACGAAAAGCATCCGTGCAGGCCGGGCACTGCTGGCGTCAGGGTGGGCACTCCATGGCTTGGCATAGCTATGGTCCAAGAAGACGAGGTCTAGCTCTCTCTCATGGACGGAGAGCTGGAAGAGCAACGAGGTTCCCATCCTCCTGGCTGAAGTCTGGAAGTCCCGCTCAGTGCCTCGGTAGGTCATGTCTTCTGGGTCGTCCCAGCATCTAGCGCCAACGTAAATGCCTCTTCCGGCTCCTCATCCTGGCCTCCTTGCACTGGGACAGGACAGGAGAGGGAGGGTGAACATGCTGCAGGAAAAGGGCCCTGCTGTATTGACCCAGCCCCAATAAAGCACAAAACAGGACAGACCCCCCCCCTCGCCAGACAGCCTGCAGCCCCTTA